CACCCATCCACCCATCCATCCCCCACCCATCCACCCATCATCCACCCACCCACCCATCCACCCACCCACCCATCCACCCACCCACCCATCCACCCTTCCATCCCCCACCCATCCACCCATCTATTCAATACTTGCTGGTACCTGCCTCCTGTCAATGTCTGGAACTCATGCTGAGAAGCAATGCTGGCGGAGCTCTGGCTGAGTCTCCATCCACAAGGCTGAGTCTCCATCCACATGGCTGTTAAATGTCATATGTGAGTAGCTAGGGCACAGTTGGCCTAGAATCCCTCAGTGAGGGCTGGGGGCATACACTTGGAGGTAGAGCATTTCTAAGGTCCCCAGTAAGGGGCTGGTGTCTGTCCCAGAGTCCTCTAGTGAGACTGTGGGCTGTGGCTCGGCCGTGGAGCACCTGTCTAGGTGCAGCAGCCTCTGGCTCTGTTCCTAGCACTGTGACTAAAGGAGAGGACGTGGTCCTGCCTGCCGGGTAGGCCAGAGTCCACAACAGCACTGTCTCCCCTAGACGGCCCCAGCATCACCTGCCCGAAGCAGTACAAGCGGTCAGGCACCCTGCAGAGCAACTTCTGTGCCAGCAGTCTGGGTAAGACTCGCCATCCTGCGCTTCGACTCCCTGTGCCCTCAGCCACGCCCAGCTCTCGCCACCTGATCCCTCATCCCCTGCCTCTCCTTCCACAGTGGTGACTGGAACCGTGAAAAGCATGGTCCGAGGCCCGGGGGAGGGCCTCACTGTCACCGTCACTCTCCTGGGTGTCTACAAATCTGGAGGCCTGGACCTGCCCTCTCCACCCAGTGACACCCCCCTGAAGCTCCATGTGCCCTGCAGGCAGATGCCCCCCATGAAGAAAGGTAAGGGCATGGGAAGTGGGTGTGGATATGGAGCTCTCTGAGGGCCTGAAGGTCTGACCAAGAAGATGCCTTCAACAAGGTCTTGATAACTTGAGCTCTCTACTCCACCCCTCCCCTCCCCAGGAGCCAGTTACCTGCTGATGGGCCAGGTGGAAGGACACAGAGGCCCCACTCTTCCTCCAGAGAGCTTCGTGGTTCCCTACAGGCCCAACCAGGATCAGATCCTCAGCAACCTAAGCAGGAGAAAGTGCCCCGCCCAGCCCAGGCCAGCCGCCTGAGGCCAAGCCAGACCCAGCCTCGGAGGCGCCCTCACCCAAATAAATGTTTCTCAACTCGGGAGGGGGTCGGACCTCTAGTTCTGTGGCTGTGGGGTTCATCCTGCGTTTCAGAAGACAAGTGCTCTGCCACTGAGCTACCCTTCAGCATTCAGAATGCCCTGTAAGAGCATGGAGCCAGGCGCAGTGGCACACGCCTGTAATCGGGTGGATCTTTGTGAGTTCGAGGCCAGCCTGGTCTACAGAGTGAGATCCAGGACAGCCAGGGCTACACAGAGAAACTCTGTCCCAAAAAACCAAAAGAAAAAAAAAAAAAAAAGGCTCCTGGGTTTCATTCTGGCATCCACACCGTGGTTCGAAACATTCTGAGACGAGTTACAGCGGATGCCGTGCTCTCTCCGCAGCAGCGCGTAAGTGGCCACAGATTTACATGCAGGCAAAACCCTGTCACACACACCTAAGTTTAAAGATCTCATCCCCCTGCACACACAAAAAATCCCTACAAGTTGAGTGTGCGCTGCCTGTGACTAAGCACGCGGAAGGTGGAGGCAGGATCATCAGCAGTTCAAGGGGCTGCGGAGCAGCGGAGGCCAAACCTGAGCTGCGGAAGATTGAGTCTCATGCTGTACGTTAGATAGTGCTCAAAATATCGAGAACGGGGCCACAGACATGGCCTGCTGCCAACTCAGATCTTCAGGGCTCACACAGGGAAAGGAGAGACCCCATTTCTGCAAGCTGGAGAGGTGGCTCAGCGGTTAGAGCACTGGCTGTTCTTCCAGAGGATCCAGGTTCAGTTCCCAACACTCACACGGCAGCTCACAACTGTCTGTAACCCTAGTTCCAGGGGATCTGACACCCTCAGACATAGGTGCAGGCGAAACACCAATGCACAGAAAATTAAATTATTAATGAATGAAAATTTTAAAATCCTGAGGCTGGTTCTCTAGATACAATCCAGTTTCACTGTGGGCTTTGCTCTCCCAACCCGGCAGCCCCCCTCCCTGCTCCTCACTTATCTCTGCTACCCCGCTGTTCCCCTTGTGATTATTGTTTTAAACAGTGTCTCACTATCTTGCCTGGCATGGCCTTCAGCTTCCTGTGTAGCCCAGGCTGGCCTTGAACTTGCGATCCTTTGTTTGCAGAGTACTCGGCTGGCGGGTGAGTCCATGCCAACACTGCTCTGTGTACACCCTCTCTTTTCTGTGCACGTGTGTGTGCGTGCTTACAGGTAGCCTTGGGTGTTAGTCTCAGAGTCAATGTCCACCTCTTGTCTCCTTCAGTATTGTCATTTTTAAAAAGGTGGGGGGAGTAGAGGGGTGGCCCAGAGGTGAGAGCACCGGGTTCCACCCAGTGGCCCCATGGCAGCTCACAACTGTCTGTAACTGCAGCCCCAGGGAATGCGATGCGTTGTTCTGGCCTCAGGGCAGCTGGCACACACTGAGTGCAGACATACATGACACACATGCAGGAAAATGCCCAGACACATAAAAGAAGAAGCATTTAAAAACGGTGTGTGTGAGCGTGCGCGCCTGGCCCAGAGAGGGGGCTGGATCCCTGGAGCTGGAGTCTTAGGGGGTTGTGAGTGGCCTAGCATAGATGCTAGGAACCGAATCTGGGTCCACCAGAGGAACAACCAGCACTCAGCCTCCACACCCTCCGTCCAGCTCCGCCCCACCCTCCCGCCACCGTTGTGAAATAGCTGGCCACTGAGCTTCCGGAGTTCCTCCGTGGGACCATGAGAATGTGCCCATACGCTCCACGCTGTTGCTTAAGGATCAGAACTCCGGTCCTGGGGCTTGCAAACCATCCCCACTCCTGGGCCAGTTCTGCTTGAGGATTTTGCTGTTCCCTCCAACGGGAATTCTTTCCCACAGATACATTTTGGATTCCTAAGTCTAATCAGATCTCTGCTCCAAGCTCATCGATTCATTCCTTTGTCCTTGCCAAATGGCAGGTCATGTTTTAAGTACAGAAAATACAACAGAAAACAAATGTCCCTGGGTTTGGGGAGGACATCCTCTGGGGGAGAGATTAACAAGATACAATGTCAGGTATCAAGAAATGTGCTAGAACGAAAGCAAGACAAGGTGGGCACTGGTGGCGCCTGCCTATAGCCCCAGCACTCTGGAGGCAGATGCAGGCAGACCTCGGAATTCGAGGCCAGCCTGGTCTACATCCAGGGATACACAGAGAGACCCTGTCTTGAAAAAACAAGCAAAAGCATGATAAATCAATTTTCAGGAAAGGCTTTCCCATAAAAACAACTCATTTTTTTTTTCATGTTTATTTCCTTATTTTTGGTCTTTTGAGACGTTTCTTTGTGTCACCCTGGCTGTCCCGAAACTCCCTTTGTAGACCAGGCTGGCCTCAAAGTCACAGAGATCCCCTGCCTCTGCCTCCCCAGGGCTAGAACTGAAGCAGAGCACCACCAAGCCTGGCTTTACACTTGTTTATTGTGGAGAACGACGCGCATACGTGCGCGCAGCTTGGCAGTTTCTCGGCTGTTTCTCTCCTCCCGAGCCAACTCCTCCACCAACCAGGTGGGCCATCATGCCGGGCCAATGTGGCTGGGTTTGCTTTTACTTTGTTTTGTGAGAGGGTCTTACTCTGTAGCCCCGGCTGGCCACACTCACCGAAATCCCCCTGCCTCTGCCTCCAGAGTGCTTGCCTTTGAGTTGTGTGCCGTCACATCAGCACCACAACGTCTGTGTTTTCTGAGACAAGACTTCACTGTGTAGCCTTGGCTGACTGGGAACTCTGTGCAGCGGGCCAGACGAGCCTCAGACTTGTGGCAGTCCACCTGCTGCTACCTTTAGTACTAAGACTACAGGAACGAGTCTGGCTTCTTCTGGCTGTTCTCTCTCTCTCTCTCACTTTCTAACATCATATTAATTAGATAATTATGAGTTTTACAGAACTAAAATACTCATGACACATCTGAAACCCTCGTGTACATGCATTTTAATCACACTCACCCCCACCGTACCTCCTGTCCCTGTCCCCTTCCCAACTAGTTCTCCTGGGGTCCCGGTGGTTCTTAGTCTGAGTTTTGATGACTCAGTAAGTTTCATTAGGGTTTTAATAGCTGTTATCCCAATGACGAAACTGTCTCTCCTTTCCTAACAACCGTAACTATCTCTAGGGGCGGGGCCTCGTTTAGCACCTCTTTAAAAATACAAATATACTTTTAGATTTGTTCATGTATATCGAGTGTTCCCTCTGCACGAATAGGACCAGGTGCCGTGAAGGTCAGATGAGGGCATCCGATCCTCGGAAACCGGAGTTACAGACGGTTGCGAACCGCTGTGAGGATGGCGAAACTGAACCTGGGTCCTCTTAACCCCTTAGCTAACCCTTCAGCACCTCCCCTTTAAAAAAACAAGGACAAACCAAGCTGGTTGGTGTTCCCGCCTCATCCAGTTTTGCTCACTGATTACTGACTAATAATTTGACGTCCTGTGCACTCTGCTTTCCCAGGCCCAAGCAGGAAGAAAAGGAAAGACAAGTGAATTTAAAAAGAAAAAAAAATCTAGTAACGGATGAGCTCAAAAAAAAGAGAGAAAAAGGAGGCTCGCAGCCCCGCCCGCCTCTCCAAGTTACTCTAAGACCAGGGCGCTCTCACTTTCTAGTATACTAATTAGAGATAATTATGGGTTTATAGAATAAAACACTCAGGACATCCTTACCTAAAGCACGCGTATACAAGCATTTTAATCACACTCACCGCCCGGACGCGTCAGAGTCTTACTAGATCGAGCCAATCAGGAGCGCGGGGGAAGGCGGGTTTGGTCCCGAAGAGCACCAATCAGCGTAGAGCCGGGCGGAAGCGAGACAGCGCCCACCAATGAGAGCGGCCGTACGGCGGAAGTGCATAGCGGAACGCTCGGAAAATGGCGCCCTCCGCCTGGCCACAATTCTGCCGGAGGAAACTTTGACCACAAGGCGATCGTCCTACGAGCGACCATTCAGGGGCAGAGTCACGGACAGGGCGCGGGCCGAGCCTAAGGAAAGGGGTCGAGGCACAACTCAGCGATCTGGAGGTCGGGAAGCCTCCAGAGGGCGGAGTCCGCGGAGGCCGGAGCGGGAGCGCCCGGAAGAGGCGTGGCCGGAAACGGGGCGGGCGCACTGCGCTCCGGACGAGGAGACCCGGATCGGGACGCGAGCGGGCGGGCGGGCCAGAGCTTAGCCGGGGGCGTGGCCAGCGCGGCGCGGTTAGGGGGCGGGGCCGGGAGGAACCCGGGGCCGCGGGAAGGGCTCGGGTCGGGGGCCGGGCCCGGGGCGGCAGGGTCGGCGCCCAGCGGGCCTCTGCGGCAGCGGTGACCGCCGGCCGGCGCCGCCCGCATCCCACCCGCCCGCTCTCCGTCCCTCGCGCCGCCCAGCGCTGGACTCTCGGGCCCCTGGTCCCGCTGAGCGCTGCCCTCGGATGTCCGACCTCCCGGAGCCTGCATGCGCCGCGGTGCGCCCCGGGGCCAGGAGCTGGTGGGTGCGGGGAGCCCTGGGCGGGGGCCCCGGGGCCGCCCTCCTCCCACCGTTGTCCCGGTGCTCGTCTTCCCCCCGGATCTAGTGTTCAGGGCGGACCAGCGGAGCGGACCGCGGCAGCTGCTGACCCTCTACAACCCGACGGGGACCGCGCTCCGCTTCCGAGGTGAGGACGCTGGCCGGGAGTCGGCAGCAGGACGAGGGACGAGCGCGCGGGCCGCAGCCGTCGGCGAGGGAGCGGCGGGGCTCGGCGCGGGGCCGGGGGCGCCGGGGGCGCCGGGGCCGCCCTCCTGAGGCCTCGCCGCGCCTCCACCCGCAGTGCTGTGTACGGCGCCCGCCAAGTACACGGTGTTCGATGCAGAGGGACACGTGAAGCCGCAGTCGCGCATTGACATGTGAGTGGGGGCAGCCGGGCGCCCCGACCGCTGACCTCCCCCTCACTGCTGACGGCGGCCGGGGAAGCCGCGGGGGAGGAGCGCTGGAGCCCCGGGGTCGCCTCTCACGACTTCCTCCCGCGGGGTAGTGTGATCCGGCACGTGGCCCCCAGCCCCAGCCACTATGACGTCCAGGACCGCTTCCGCATTGAGCTGTCGGAGGAGGGGGCCGAGGGGAGGGTGCTCGGCCGGAAAGACATCACCTCGGTTCTCAGGGCGCCGGCGTGCCCCCTGGAGCTGCAGGCGCACCCCGAGCCGCGGCCCGCCGCAGGGCCGCCTGTGTCGGCGGGACCAGCCCCGGGCAGACCTCTTCCCGACAGTGAGTTGAACGGATGCTTTGTGCGTGCGTTTGCCGTGTCGTGTACCCCGACTGTGTGAGCGCGTGCGTGTGGGCGCTTGTGCACAGGCGTGCCTGTTTGTGGAGGGGCCTGGTGTCTCCAGTCTCTCTCCACCTTTTCCGAGACAGATGCACACTCACTTGGCTAGGCTGGATGGCTGTTAGTCCACCGTCTCCGCCCCCCAAAGACTGGGCTTATGGGCACACCGTGCCACGCCCAGGTTTTCAGGGTGCTCCCGGGGTCTGAGCTCAGGTCCTCAGGGTTGCGCTGTTTGGCCGTGTACCAGGCAAGCTCACTGCACTACTGAGCTCAGCCCCGCAGTGCGCGCACTCCGGAATCCTGGAGGGACAGAAGTAGCACTATCCAGAAACCAGCTTAGCTGGGTTTCAGGAGGCTCTGGGTTCCGGTGTCTCTGTGCGTGCGTGCATGCATGTGTGTGAGAAGGTGATCTGGCTGACGTTTTCTGTCCGGTGAGAGAAGGCATTGTCCGGCTCTCTCACTCGGAGTCAGAGGACACGTCTTTCCTCCTCGGTGCCCGTCATCAGGTGCCCCTGGGATCAGTTCAGCTGGAGACCTGTGCTGAGCAGTGAGCTCGTGTGCTGGGTGTGGGGGATACAGGGTCCCCGCCTGTCTGCCCAGGAACCAAGAACACACTACTGGAGGCAGGAGGACGAGGAGACCAGAGGACAGAGGCGCCAAGGCGGACACCCCGGGGTCCCTGTAGAGAGCAGGGAAATGTAAACACCAGCCAGTGTGGTGCAGGAGCCTGGGACAGCACCCTGGGGGCTGAGCCAGCACGGGGGCAGACTGCGGGTTCCAGACCAGCCGGCTACGGAGTGAGGCTTTGGGAAGCGGGGTGAGGGTGCAGGGGGAGATAGCCGGGTTGGTGACGTGTTGGTGAGAGCGAGGCCCCACTTGAGTCCCCAGCACCCAGGATGTGTAATCACACTTCTGGGAGGCAGAGACAGGCAGGTCCCGGGCGCCGGCGCACCGGGCAGCCGGCGTAACACACACGTCCGGGGGCGGGGGAGGGGGGGAGCCAGTCCCTGAGAACAAGTCGGCTAGCACCTAAGGAGCCACACCTGAGGGGGATTCCTGCCCTCTGCACCTAACACACGTGCGTGTGCCTGCCAGGCACTCATACACAGGCACATTCAAGAAAGATCACCGAAGCTGGAGGGGATCTTACACGCATGTAGTCCCAGCACTTGGAGGTGGAGGCAGGAGGATGAGAGTTCGGGGCCAGCCTGGGCTACATATAGTGCGTCCGAGGCCCTGTCACTCCACACTCGAGTCCCTGCCCCTTTCCTGTCACCGGGCCGGGCCGCCACCGCTCTCACGCCTCCCTTTCACAGCCGCCCCCCAGCAGCTGGCCAGCAGCTCCTTCCTGCTCTTCCTGCTGACCGGCGTCGTCTCGGTGGCCTTCCTGCTGCTGCCGCTGCAGGACGAGCGTGGCAGCCAGCTGCCCCAGGTGCTGCACGTGTCGCTGGGGCAGAAGCTGGTGGCCGCCTACGTCCTGGGTGAGCAGAGGGGCGAGGCCGCTCCGGAGGAGGATGGGAGGGCGGGGAGGACGGCGCCTGCACGGGATCTCCTCTCCCGTCCCCAGGCCTCCTCACCATGGTGTTCCTCCGGACCTGAGCGCTCGGCTGGCACAGCCGCCCTCTCCTCCGCAGGCAGGGACCTGAAGCAGCCACTGTGACATTTTCACCTTGCCCCTTCTCCCTCCTCGCTGCCCGCCCATCGCTGTCCTCCTCCCCACAACAGACACCCAGGGATTTGTACTCATTTTCCAAGTTAATTAAATACATTTTAAAAATCAAAACGAGAAATGTGGAATGCTTACCCTCGGCTTCTCACATACCTTTCGTGTGTGTGCGTGTGCGTGCGTGTGTGCGTGTGTACATGAGCAGGTACACAGATGCACTTGGCTGGAGGTCTGCCTCAGGCGTCTTGTCTTCTCAGCAGCTTCTGCATGTTTATTGACTTCGTGTCAGCTGTTCTCAGGCTGCCTAACCTTGCGACCCTTAATACAGTTCCTCACGTGTGAGCCCAACCAGAGAATCATCTCTGCTGCTACTTCACAACTGTGATTCTGCCGCTGTTACGAACCGGAATGTAATACCTGTTTTCGGATGGTCTCAGGTGACCCTTGTGCCGCTGAGAACCACGGCTTTACATTGCGTGAGCGTGTGTGTGTGTGTGTGTGTGTGTGTGTGTGTGTGTGCGCGCATGCAGAGGTCAGAGAACTCTGAGTGTTCTCTCCCACGGTGTAGATTCCAGGCACTGACCTCTGGCCATCATGGTGGCACTCGGCTTTACCCACTGAGCCCTGGGGCTTCTTTTTTGAGGCAAGGGCTTCAGAACCGAGCTCGGTGCTCGGCTAGGCTGGTGACACATTCCTGCAGCAGCAGGCTTAGCCGAGTACCTGACAGACACCAGAGTCCCAGGAGATGGGCTGTGGTCGCCAACAGGAGGATTATGCTGATTAGCTTACAGGGTGGGATGACCACCCTGAATGCGGGCCACACCATTTCCTGGGGTACCCGTGTGAAGGGCATGATCCCGGAGGCTTTAATAAAGATCCGATGGCCAACATCTGGGCAGGAAGTGGACAGGCGTGAACATGAGCAGACAGGTAGGCCGGGTTATGGCAGGACAGAATTAGTCAGCTTAAAGGAGCTGGGAGGTTGCCAAGTTAAAGCTTTTAAATAAACTCGAGTCTCTGTGTCCCTATTTGTATAGCTGGCGGGCCTGTAAAAGACCAGCTTTCCAGGTGTGCTGGTGCACGCCTCTGAGCTCAGCACTCTGGAGGCAGAGGCAGGCGGATCCCTGTGAGGTCCAGGCCAGCCTGGTCTGCAAAGGGAGTCCAGGACAGCTAAGGCTTCATAGAGAAACCTTGTCTCAAAAAACAAGCAAACGAAAAAGACCAGCTGCATTTGGTGCTCACACAGGGCCGGTAAATACAAACTTACAAGCCTGAAGAGAGAGGACTTCGGTCTGAAACCCACAGGGGCACCTTACAGACTGCCACCGGGCTAGAACGCCCACACTGACTGTCCCAGCTGTGGTAAGAGAAGTAGCTCCAGATGAGAGAAATCCACAAGGTCGTCGAGAATGAGCTGGCAGCCGGTAGAGGCACTGGACTTAAATGTAAAGAGGCATGGATGTCATGAATGATTCAGTTTGTGTAAACCAGATGCTTAATGACTGGGCCATGCAAAATCATGCAAAGGGCTGGAGAGACTTGGTGTCAGCCATCCTAGGACCTGGTTCTTAACTACAATGGCTAACGTGGCGGAAAGATGAGGCTTCAGTCACGAGCAAAGAAATAGGTCTAGTGACACCGCCAAGAATCAAGCAGTTGCTAGGTGAAGGTCGTATTCTGAATCAAGAGTGCAGGTCGGGTGTAACAGTTCCACCTTAGAGCAGTGCCGTGTAGCAGCTCTAAATGTTTGGGACGAGGCTGAACGACAGGGAAAACCGATCCAGCATATCGTATATAAAAAATGACTTTGAGGAGAGAGGATCTGCTCCTGTTCCAACAGGAAGCGAAAAGCTTCCTTCAACTTCCTTCAAAATTAATAAGGATTGGCTTTGACTGGGGCAGGCCTTCCTGAAAATGGTGGCTGCAGACATGGAGAACAAACCGAGTGAGGTGACTGCTGATCTGTCTCTGTGGGAACAGCGCTGCGAGCCGAACAAGAATGTTTCCGCGGAGCCACAAATCTTGTCGGCCACAGAGCCCTCAGGACTTACTATACATACGCCATCCTTTCATACGTCATGGATGGACAGTTGTGTTACACTTTGGTTATGCAGTCCAGATGGACTTACAGACCTAGAGGCCTTTCACCTGCGCATAGAACAGAGATTCATCTTTATCGGATCTGCGCACACTGCACATTCCATACATGTGTTAGTGCAGAAGTGAATATTCCCAGCACTCGGAGGCAGAGGCAGGCGGATCTCTGAGTTCAAGGCCAGCCTGGTCTACAAAGTGAGTCCAGGACAGCCAGGGCTACACAGAGGAAATGCTGCCTCAAAAAATAAAAAAAGAAACGTGTGTTACCTTTCTAAGTCTGTGTTTTCAGAGCAAAAGGACCAGAGGCCAGTGAAGACAGAGCAAGTCGCCCAGATGCCTCACAGACTTCAGTCAGGACTTTAGTGAAGCCTGCACAGGGTTCACACAGACGCGGGGCAGCGAATGGCGCGGCCAGCTCTCTCTGGACGTGACCATTATCCCAACTTCCTTAGGGCCCTACAGACGCTTTCAGCAGGAACCACGTTAAAAGAGTGACAGCCTCAGGGGTGTGACAGGGGTGTGGGTGATGGGCTTACAGGGGTGTGCCACGGAGCCGGGAATGTTCTGGTCAGTGTGTTATGGGGGGTTGTTGGCATTTTAGGAGGTTGGTTACAAGTTGTCTTTGGTCTCGGTCGGGGAGGAAACAAAGTAAAGGGTCTTATATTCAGGGATCTGTCTTTCTCTTCCTCCCCTCTGTCCTTCCTCTCCTATCTAGTTAGGGGGAAGGAGGGAAAAGGGGAATGAGCACAAGAAAAGGGGGATACAGACATAAAAGAAAAATAAAAGTAGATTATGACATCTACTTTCAGACTAGAAAGCAAGTTCCAGATATCTCACATTGGTGTGGATTTTTGAGTATCGATAGAAATTTAAGGTTCTATTTGCCGCACATACCGTATTTAGGTTTCAAGGTTGTTCACGAATTGTAGATATGCAACTCATTTGATGTAAGCTCTGGCCCTTTTGAAAGCTGCTATTGAAAACTGTTTAGGGTAGTTAAGAAATAGAAGCTGTGAGTTAGTCACCTGTAGTCTCACCTGTAGCCTCCTTAGGAGCTTGTAGTCACAGTGCTGTTGTGTGAAGATTCAAATGCTGACCTCTGTGCCATCCCCCATAGCTGGCTGCATTCCTTGTTCTGAGAATCTCCTGTCCAAACTTTGCTCCCCAGTTGTCCCCTGATATGTCAACAAAGCATCTTAACAGCCAATCACTGAGCAGGGGCGAGAATGCAGCCAGGGGAGGAGGGAGGCAGAGGGATTCAGCTATGGTGGAGGCACAGGGAACATCACTAGAAAAGAGCTGCTGGAGCAGAGAACGCCATAAAATGTGAGCGTCTCTGAGATTTTGGCAAAAAGGACGTCAGACTCTCTTAGAGGGTTAAGAATAGAGCGATAACTGCTCAGTATTGTGCTGTAAAGCTTGTTAAATAAACACAGTAGTCCAGTCTCAACTATTTGGATGCTAGCCAGCTTAAGAGAGAAACTGCAAAGCGCATTCTTAAAAGTAATACGAACGGGTACTGTTAGGACCAAATAAATGATGATGGTGCGCACAGCAGATTTTATATGGAAGAGGTTTACTAGGTGGAGATGAAGAGAGAGAAGGAGAGAGCAAGACATGATAGGGGAAGTGAGCAGGGCACCCCTCAGAGAAAGGAGAGAGGGCAAGAGAGGAGAGGGTGAGAGAGGAGAGGGCGAGAGAGGAGAGGGCAAGAGCTGAGAGAGGGACACAGCAGCAGTTTGGTTCTTCCTGCCAGGTGTGGCCACCCGGCTGGTGACACATGATGACATCATAGGTTGCTAGGCAACCCAGAAGCAGGTGCCTAAATAATAACATTCCTCCCCTTTTCTATAATTAAAAAATGAGGAGCTTGGGCTGCTTCTCATGTAAGACAAGTTAAAGTGTATACATTTAGGTTCATTGGAAGCAGCTCTTGGTTGCCATGCAAGGGGTTAAGAGAGAGAGAGAGAGAGAGAAAATAGCAACAAAATGTCCAAATTACATGGTCAAGAAGAAGGGAAGCCTCTGTCCTGGAAGGTTCAGGGTAGAGGGATGTCAGTAGAGAGCTGCCAGCCACACAAGGCAGCAGGTAGGGACTGAGGAACGCTGGGAGAACCTGGAGCTGCTTGTCCTGGGCCTGAAGCACACCATTCCAGCCTTTTGTTAATGAGTAAGTGTAGATTCTCTTCTGGCTACTTCCTGCTGGCACTGGGGGCGCTGTAGGGAGGTCAGAAGGCTGAAATGCTGGCCAAGTCCAGGAAGAACAGGCTGCTTTGATGCTGTCCAGGGTCTGTGAGAACATCCATGGCTGGGAGGGAAAGTGCAGGCCCAGCTTGATGGAAGTCTGTGAGGTCAGACTGGGACACTTGTGGTAGCTGCTTTGGCGCTGTTGTGGCTATAGGAAACATCTGTGTATGGCAGGACACTGAAACACATATATAGGCAAAAGATAAAGTTGAGTAGGTTATGGAGAAAATCCTTTAGGTGTACACTGAAAACTTTTGGGAGAGCAAGCTGAGGTGGAAGGTTTGGATCGAAGATACTTGAGCATGGGAGCCTCCGTCTACCTGAGGGAACCTGCATTTACCCCGTCACTGGCAAAAAGGCTTTGC